AAGTACAGGTCGATCTAGCTTGGGCGTTTCGCAATAAGAAAGAGAAAGGATAAAGGATAAAGTCTTCGCCGTTGATCAATCCCTTTGTGGGATGCGGCACGCATTCTACTTCCATTCAGAATCGTAGCGGCCTATTGAATGCGATGTAGCCTGTACAATCACTTGCAATCCACCGGAGCCGAAGGGTAGAAGGTTTGATTGGCCTGGGCGGGAGGCGACCCGGGATTTGAACCCAGGACCGCGCTGGTGGTAAACGCGCCATTTGTCAGTACACCACCTTCGCCTCCGTTTTGCAATAGGAGATTATAATATTGAGGAGTCAGTCCTTCGGAGAGGATGAGTAGATGGGAATCGATCGATTTTCCTGTTCTCCCAAGTCGTTATGAAGACGGTCTAACGAGATCATTTGATCAGAACCTAAGGCGAAATTGCTCGGGTAATCTTGAGCGGAACTATTTGTCATACCTTAGGCTGTTCAGGCAATTTCTTTTTTATTCAAAACCTTTCTCTTATTTTCTATACGATTTCCTATTTCTCTTATTAATATTAGACTAATTGTAATTCGCCAAATTAGAGTCATTAGGCGGTTCGCCTAATTTTCTGCCTTTGATAATCATGAACTTGTTCTTCTCTTGATGTTTCGTTGAACGTTTGCGATAAGAAGTTTCTAAAACAGTTCACTGACCAATGCACTGTGTGTTTGACGGTCGCTCGTTCTATCGCTGGTTGTGCTTTTTGCTGGACTCCATGTTAGGCCAGATCTCAAGTTCATTTTACTAGAATATTTTCAAGACTTTCTAGAATCGTGCCCGGATCCACTTAAACTGAGTGATTAGATGGTCCTTTTATGGTGCTGTTATTGTTCATGCTTGTGCGAATAGATATTCACATGAAACTACAAGTACTCATTTCGAAGGATTTGAGCAAGGCGAGACGTCCAGATGGGTTGTAACATCTGCTAGGTCGCATTGTTGCCAGAACTGCCTCAACAGGATGCACGTTCTGAGATTTTCTGCGGAACTGATGACTCGATTTTATAGAGCACCCGATGAATCATTTCGGCCGATATTATCTCGTGTTTTAGCTGAACGACTGCTGCTTAGCCGGTTTTATGCTCATCAAAAACATACGTCTCAATTATAGAGAAGGCAGAAGTTATTTTGATTGGATCCGGCTCTTTCTGGACACCGTACTGCCTGATTTTCCATATCCTTTGTCTTTTCTTTGGACGAGGTACCCTATTTTCAAGGGTATAAGGTGCATTATTTGGCAAGGTTGCAGAGGAGACGCAGCAACGCGTGAGATATCTTTCTGAACCCAGCGACTACTTTCTCAGTTTTTTTTAGCATATTTTGATATTCCGATTAATTTTGAATTACCTTTACCAATTATAGATAGTTCATATAGATGAAAATAAACAAAACGTTTGCAGAAATCGGGCGAGAAAGAGATATTCGGGCAGTCTGAGGTGGAGGTGCTCCGGTTGCAGCTCAAACCTTATGAAATGGGGTTAATTCTCACTGTCTTCACTGCCACAGCACACCAGGGAAGGAAGGTATGTCGAAATGGCCCTCTAAAGGCAGTGGCACGATAAATCCTCAAGACGTATAGAATTGTTACACCTAGCAGGACACAATTCGACGCCTCTGACAATGAGCAGGCACTGTGTGGCGCCTTTTTATGCGAAGGTACCTTTATAGCGCCCTATCAGGCAGAAACATGCCGATCCAGACCCCCACCGCGCCTGCCCGCCCCACAATGTGGGACCGATGCTGATGCTCTTTTCCAAGTTTTGACCGTTTCATTTCGCTTTTTCGCCATTTTCCCCACTATATAGCACCTCTGCTACCATTTTAGGCCGAGTACCAAATTATTGTGCCTTATGCCTTTGAAAACAAAATGATTACTGACTAGAGTGCCTTTGGATGATGAGAGAGAATCAGTATTCCTTATCTGCTGAGGGCCTACCTGAGTAAAGCTTTGGAGGTTTTCAAGGGGGGGGGGGGCATATCCAAACTCTGTACGAATTTCGTGCGTAAGGCTGCTTTGCTTTGGTGGCTCAACGGTGATGTAGTTCGTCTCGCTGTGCAATTCGGCTGTAATTTGATGCGATTTGTCTCACATTCGAAGCAGTTTTACGCCGAAATTCGTTCTGAGTGTGAATATTACTTCTCTAAGAAACGTCCCACTTCGTCCAGAGAGATCCGCAGTAGATATATGAGATGGATTCATAATTATCGTCGAAATGCACATCAGGCGATATACATCTCATTTCGAACGCTCACTTCGACATAAGTCCTTCCCTTGGCAGTAATATTAGCAGTAACTTTGAAATTAGCTTTAGAAGGACCCCCTTTCGTTCATTTGATTGTTCTGACGCGGTAGTTCTGCACGCAAGCATGGAGAACTATTGTTGCAGCCCGAAGTACTTGAGGAAAGGGCGACCCACTCGCGAAGAGGCCACGGCTACTCTCACTGGCGACGGTAACGCCAAACTTTCACTTCACTTTCAACTTTCGTCGC